CCTGAGGAATATCACGGTCTGCCCCCTAAACCCCGAGGATGATCACGGTCTGCTCCCTAAACCCCGAGGATGATCACGGTCTGCTCCCTAAACCCTGAGGAATATCACGGTCTGCCCCCTAAACCCCGAGGATGATCACGGTCTGCCCCCTAAACCCCGAGGATGATCGCGGTCTGCTCCCTAAACCCCGAGGATGATCGCGGTCTGCTCCCTAAACCCTGAGGATGATCGCGGTCTGCTCCCTAAACCCTGAGGATGATCACGGTCTGCTCCCTAAACCCTGAGGATGATCACGGTCTGCTCCCTAAACCAGCGGGACCGGACAGCATTGTTTCCCGGGGCACGGGCTCCTGAGATCAGCAGCGGCCAACACAACACCACAATATTAAAAAGTAAGCTGCTAAGATGCTAAGGATTAAATCACCATGATTCCTTTAATATAATCCCCCCAGAGATAAATTCATTATGGCATGATCTAAAGTAAAAAAAATTAAGCAACGATTAAAATGAAAATGTAAGAGTAAAAAATGGAAAATGAAATGATTTCCTTTTGATGAAAAAGCGGTCCCTTAAATAAATAAAGTCTACCAGCAATGTCACTGCTGAGTTGCAGGGCTCTCCCACTGAATCCACTAGTGACTCTTTTTGTGTGCTGGGAGTGACATCTCTTCTCTTGTTGCTGAGAGGCCTCGCTCATATGCGGCAGAATGACAAACCTGAGCAGTCCCCTCCTTAGAGGCCTCTACACCAGTGGTTCTCAACCTTCCTAATGTCAGGACCCTTTCATACAGCTCCTCATGTTGTGGTGACCCCCAGTCCTAAAATTATTTTCACTGCTACTTCATAACTGTCATTTTGCTACTGTTGTGAATTGGATGGCCCCTGTGAAAGGGTCGTTGGACCCCCCCCAAGGGGTCGCGACCCACAGGTTGAGAACCGCTGCTCTACAGCTTATTGGCATGTTCCCACTCAGTCATTCCGTGGGAGTTACAAAGGCTGTGGACAGAAGAGGCACAGCAAAGGTAGGCTTTGGTCTATTCCGAGGAATGACACATATCTCCTGCACTCGGGAATAAGCTATACTTGTAGTTAAGCAAGTGGTCACCTAGCAGGGAAGCAACACACCAGCCTGTGTGGATGGGAAGAGGTATCAGAAGTTCAAAATCAAGCAACCATATTGATGTGAAGGTATATGGATGTAGTGGAGACCCAAAGCCCACCTGTAAGAGGATTGGACAGTTCTTCACAGAAGGGCCACATGGAAAGGGTGATAAATCCAGGGTGCGGTATAGTACTAATGAACCACATAATTATCCTCTAGTTAATATTTCCTCCCCTTACTATTATGGTTTTTGTTTTACCTCATTAATCATATTAGATTTGTATATGTTCATTTGTATAAGATCCTTCAGCACATGAAAGCCAAGATAAATTACCTTTCAGAAACAGTAAGAGGAGTAATGGTTCCCTGAAAGAACAGAAAGGCTGAGGGCATGAACTTATGCTCCATCTGGGCTCTTTCTAATATTCTTCTTCCCTCAGAGGACTGCCACCCTCTGAAAAGTTAAGGTTTTAGATTAGGTGGGGTAGCTGGTCTGATAACAGCAAGGTCAGCAGTTTGAGCCCAGCAGGTACTCCTCAGGACAAAGATGAAGCTTTCGGATCCTGTAGATTTACAGCTTTGGACACCCACGGGGCAGTTCGTCTGCACTATTGAGTCGTCAGGAGGCAGAATCGACTCGATGGCAGCGAGTCTGGTTTCTGGTTTTTCTATTTGAGCCTATGAATGGGCAGGAGCCTAGCGCTTGGGTGTCTGCCCGAACTAGCCTGGGTCTGGAGGAGCCTGGCCCTGTCCTCTGCGAGGCTTTGAGGCTTTCTGGAGTGGAGCTGTTAAGGTGCAATAGGAGTTTCCACCTCATTATTGTGAGGACACCACCTCACTATATAGAAATCATAGGAGCCATGGCTATGTAGTGAGTTATACACTGGGCTGTTAACCTAATGGTTAATGGTTTGAAACTAGCAGCTGCTCCATGGGAGACCTTTGAGGCTTTCTCTTCCTAAGATTTACGATCTCAGAAACCCACCAGGGTTCTGCTTTGTCCTCAAAGGTCACCAGGAGTTGGAAATTGACTCAATGGCAGTGTTTGGTTTTGAGTTCATAAACAAATGACTTAAAACAGTGCTAAGCACTTATGATGCATCTGGTGTCAGGTACCATCTCCATGGCCAGAAACCAGGTGTGATGCAGAACCAGGCCCTGTCTGGTCTCCCTGTGGGAACAGATCTAACTGGGGCTGAGCAAGTTAAGCATTAGGAAGGAGCTGAGTGAGAACTTTCTCCCACGGCGTCAGGCTTGGGGGAACATGGGAGATGACAATGGTTTAGTTCCCCAATTTCTATTGATGGGGAAGATGGGGCAAGCCCCTTAGCTCAAACGGCCCCCTCACTAACCACGTCACTGCCAGGAAAGCAGGCCGAAGGAAGCTGGGGTCATCTGGGTGATTATTGGGACTTCCTTTTGCACCAAGGTAAATCACCACCAGGACTGAGACTGAGAACCAGGGGGGTGGGGTGAGGAGAGGGCAAAGCTTGGGGTATCAGGGCAGCTCCTGGTGAGGCAGGCAAGCAGGCAGCAGTGGTTCCACCAATCGGCACTTTATTTTTCTGCACAGATGTTACCGTCCATTTTCCTGACCCCCGGGGGAGGGCCCATCACTCAGATAACCCACAGCCCAGAGAAGTAGGTCCCTCCAGCCCTCCCTTGGGTAGTGAAGAGGCCCTTTGCCATCCCCCAACCACAGCCACAGGGGATCGATCCTGTTCTCCTGCGGCATTGGAGGCCTGGATAAAGTAGGGTGAAAGTGTGCTGGGGGTGACACTGGCTAGTGACTTGGGGACACAGCTATGCAGACCCTCCCCCCAGGTCTGAGTCTTTACCTCTTCACACCGGAGTCTCCCTGAAGCTTGGCCAGGGCCTGCTAGGTAGGAAGAGGTGGGAATGGGCAGGGGCAGGGCTTCCAAGGGCAGGCCTGGGGTGGGTGGGGGACAGAGGGGAGCATGGGCCAGGAGAGAACAGTAAAGTGCTGGGAACTAAATGAGCACGTGGGACAGGAGGGCAGAGCACAGGTCCCTGAGGCATAGGAAGGAAGAAAGTAACAATTAAAAAAAATAAAATAAAAGACCAAGAGACAGAAGCCCAGGGCTTGGGTGCAACGGAATGAAGAGAAAGGTGAGGGCGGGCGGCGAGTGCAGGCTGCAGGAAGGACGCCCGGCCCCGTCTACACCCACTAACTCCCATGTAAAATTATTTACAGACTTAAAACCGACCCCAGGAGTGGGTGCTGCACCAGACCCGGGACAGCAGGCAGGCGGGCAGGCAGAGAGGGGCACTGTCTGCCCAGGGACAGCCAGTTTCCCCTGCATGGCCACTCCCAAGGAGTGGGGGGAGGAGGAAGACTGACTCCCCTCTCCAGGAAGCCCACTGCCCTGCAGCTCCCACTCCCTCAGCTCAGGGCTCTGGCCTGGCCTGAGCCTCTGTGTCTGACTGTAGCAAAGCTCGGGTGTCGGGCCCTGGGGGTGGGGTATCAGGAGGCTTGGGGGGGCTCTCTGGTCCCAGCCCCAGCTCTGCATTCAGCTGCTCCAGCTCCCCCTGATCCACCAACTCAAAGTCCTCGGAGACAAGCGCCTCTTCTTCCTCAGGGCCAGGCAGGAGCTGAGGGGAGTCCTGAGGGAGAGGGGAGCTCATGGGGGGAGAGGAGACTGGGTTACTTTTGGCAAGGCCCAGTGGGGGTGATAGGGTGCTGGGCAGAGTGGTCAGGTCACCACTCACTGCCTCTGGGCTCAGTGTCTCCACAGGTACCCCTGGGGGGCGTGCCACTCCGTCCACGGGGGATCCTGCCCCATTGAAGTGCGTGTTCACAAAGTGGAGGGGAGAGGAGAGTCGGAGCAAGGTGTCCTCGGCCATAGCCATGCCTTCCTCCTTGGAGTCCAGGGCCTGCCCTGAGAGCGCCTGAGCAGGAGCCAGCAGCTCTTCTCGGGGGGCTGGCTCTGCCTCCTCTGCTTCTCCTAGGTCCCGGCTCAGGGCCTCCTCTGGCTCACTGGGCAGGCTCTGCTGGTCCAGATCTGTGTGAGAACAAAGGGGCTGGGGTGCTGTTGTAGGCCCAGACAGTGGCCTCGGTTCCCTGCTTTGGAACTGAGGGTAGTCAGGGGTGGGGGGTGGCAGAGGGCTCCCCGTACCCTCAGAGACATCGGTCAGCTGCGGTGTTGTGGCCCGGGACACGGAGAAGCCCCCACTCTCCAAGATAGATGCCTCTTCATCTGACAGCTCCGAGTCTGTAATGGCCAAGGCCAGGGCTGTTTTCTTCACGTCCACCTGCAGGAGCACCAGGGCGGAAACAGACGGGACCAGTGAGGAGGGGAGAGAGAATCAATTTTCCAGGAGTCCCCCTCACTCCTTGCTCCAGACCTCTGCCTCTTAGCCCCTGGACAGGCGGCGACTCTAGCACAGAAACACAGCCCCCAGCCCACCTCTGGGGTCTCACCACTGGGGAGAAGCCAGCCAGCTCTGCCTCGCTTTCACTCTCCGTCTCAGCCAGCGGTTCCTCGCTTCCTGGCGGGCCGTCCTTACCCTGCCGCTCTGCAGGAAGCAGGAGCCGTTGGGCAGTGATCAAGCAGGGGCGGGGTGGGGGACATGCATGGCCAAAGGCATCCCAAATCAGGAGCCCCCCCTCACTGGCCTCCTGGGGGTCCCTTACTCCTCTTGTCATGCTTGTGGTGCAGGGGCTCGGCTTCTGCTTTCATGCTGTAGTCCAGCTGCATCAGCAGGGGCTCGAGGCGCGTGTACATCCTCTGGATCAGCTCATGGTACACCACCAGGGGCCATAGCAGGATGCTTAGCACTGCAGAGCAGAGCCTACTCAGCGCCCCCACGTAGCACGGGCCAGGGGAGGGCAAGGCTACTTCCTAGGTGTGCTAACCCCCTCCCCTCCCTGAAGGCCTCCAGTAAAGAACTGAACGGAGGCGTCCCTTGGGGGCCAGACGCAGGAACTTCAACAAGGTGGGGAGGGAGTCTTAGGGGAAGGGCATAAGGGCTCAAGCTTACAGACAATGTAGGAGATCATAATGCCAGGAACATAGTGGCCCAGTGCAGCCAGCACTGCGCAGCCAGAGCAGACCCGTACACAGAACTGCAGACAAGAACCGAGTCTCAGACTAGCAGGGGGCTGAGGCCCTTTGGCCCCTCACTGGGGTCAGCACATAGACATGCCCAGCCTGGTCAGGAGGACACCCAGGGCTGCAGTAAACCCCTCTACCAGGCAGCCGAGATGGGATTGCTCGGCCTTGAGAGGGGGTCGGGTCTGAACATCAGCAAACATCAGCTTATTCCACGGGCCTGGGCCTCCTGTCCTGAGCTATCTGCTAACTGTGTGGCCCCAGGGAGGTGGCCCGGCCTCTTCTTTCAAGGTGCCTAACCCAGGAATGCACATGGCTCCTCTCCATCCCTCCCCAGGACAAGGGATCTGACGGAAGGTGCAGGGGTGCTTACCTGAGCTGGATTCTGCCTCTTGTACTGCAGCAGCTCCTGCAGGTGAATCTGGAAGGTGAGCCAGCTCTCAGCCAGGTATCTGCACAACTCGGGCACACTCAGCAGGTGCGGCCGGGCGCCTGACCCCGCACCCTCACTGGGGAGACATGACATGACCCCTGGAGGCCTCAGGCACCAGCTTTCTAGGCTTTCAAAGTCCTCCGAGAACACCAATGAGGCCTTCAGTCTAAGGGCACAGACTACCCCACCACCCAACAGGCAGTTGTCCTGGGCCGGGGAAGCATGGCCCAGGGTCCCAAGCCCTCTGCCCCTGAAGGAGCAGGCCCACACATGCCAGCATGGCACGCCACCTCTCCGCCACTCCCACCCCCCACTCCCAGGACCCCGCCGACTCCGTGGCTTGTCACCCGTCCATTCGCTAGGCTGGAGTCTGTGCCTGTAGAAGCGGCAGTCCTGCCCTGCTCTGGGTGACACTGGCACTCGCCAGGAAGACTGGATGGTCTGGATCTTTGTTTCAAGAGGGGTCCTGCACTCACCTGTCAGAATGTGGTTCCTCGGGGGATGAGGCTAGAGAGAGGGGGGGAGGAGGGGGCAAGTGATTGAGTGGGAAGGGCCCTGGGGGACACTCCCCAAGACAGAATAAGTCACCCCTTTCTTCAGCTGTCAATCCCAGGGAGAAGTACATGGCTGTCGCTGACTATGCCTGCCTCCTTCTCTAGACATTCCCCTTTCCCAACACAGGATCCAAGCAACTCACACTAACGGGCACCTAAAGCCTCCATCATGCCTACATAAGAAACAGCTCACAGGAAGGTCAATGTTCTCCTATTTATGTCATCCCTCTTCTGATGCACCAGGTATGTAGACCCTCTTCTGTGACCACCTGAGTCCCCACCAGTGGATCTGGTCATGTCTGTTTTATTGATAAGATAGGGGCCAAGGAGCACCTGAAGACTTCTAGGAGGTCACATACATGCTAAGTGGCAGGGCAGAGAAGAGAGCCCAGGCCACTTGGCTGCCCTGACAGTCATAGGTTTTGGGCCCGGGCACTTGCTTCTCTTTTCAGTGGCAAGGGGACCTGTGCGTGGGAGGCAGGTGGCAGCGGCTAGGCTCCACCAGTGTGGGGGAAGGACCCAGTAGGGAGTTGGTGAGTGGACGGAGGCATATTCACCGGGGAAGTCAGGGAGGAAGCGAGGCTGCCAGAGGTCCAGCAGGAGATAGGCCAAGAGGGAGACGCTGATTAGGAAGATGGGCCGCAGGGACGACGCAGACAGCAACCTTCAAAGAGAGAGGGGCACCTGAGTAGGTGGCCGGTGTGAGGCTCCCTGGCCATTGCTGGGGGTCTAGGAAGCTCCCAACCCAAAGCCAGGGGCAGGGGGGAGTGACCCCCAGGCACGCTTGTTTTAAAAAAAAAGGGGAGATGAGTCCCCCCCTCCAGGTCTAGCGACAATTTCCCAC